GGTATCCTATGCTTGCTTCTCTCTTTCAATCTCTTAATGCGGTGACTTATATTAATAAACTTTTTAATGTTGAACCGTATCTGCATTCCTGGAATAAGCTCAGCTGAATGAGGATTGGTTTTACACGCTACTACAGTCAGTTTTCTAACAGCTTATATGGAAGTGTTGAATTCCATGATAGGGACATGCCTGTCATTTACTTCAGGCACATACAGTGAGGAACAGTCCCTCTCTCTTAAAGCAATTGTGTTAGATTGGAATTACTGATCACTAAATGTTGGTTTTATTGTTTTGTTTTGTTTTGTTTGGAGGGGGAAGAAGAGTTTTAACAACATTTAACTACTACAAATGTCTTTATAATAGTTTAAGAACTTTTTGGTTATCTATTTCTTCTCAAGTTACTTTTTGCAATTCACTTACTTTGGAATTTTTGTATTTTGTCTAAATTTTAGAACGTTCTGGCATAACTTTACTTATATATCCTTTTATCTCTGCTACAGCGGAAGTTATGCCCATCTTCTCATTCTGAATCTTACTGTATCATCTCCATTTTTTTCTTAGTAAATATGTTTTTCAAAAGATTTAATTTTTGTCTTAATCCACTTTAGAGTATTTTCATTTCTGTCTAATCACTTTCTGCTCTAATTATGTTACTTCTTATACTTTCTGCGGGTTTATTGTTCTTTGTCTAACCTCTTAAATTCAATCAAAATGGATTCTTAACTGAATCCTCAGCCTTTTATCTTTTCTAAGCTAAGCATTTTACGGTGTAAAATTCCTTCTGAGTAAGCTTTAGCTGTATTTCCTAATTTAATATGTAGCATTTTCAATGTATGTACTTCTAATTGTTTTCTAATATCTATACTCATTTATTCTTTGATTGCAAATTATTGAAGGTATATTTAAATTTTTTTCCAAATATATGGAGTGTTTCAGTTGTCTTTTTACTATGAATTTCTAGCATAGTTGTAGTAAGAGAGCATGTTTTGCATGGAATGGATTTTTTTGAAGTGTGTGAAGACTTACTTCATGACTTAGGATGTGATATGGTCGATTTTCACAACTGTTTTATTTGTACTTGAAAAGTATGTGGATTCTCTCATCATTTGGTCCAGGGTTATATATATGTCCAAATGTGTTGCTTTAATCTTCATCCTTACTGATTTCATGCTCCATCTTTCAATTACCAAAAAGTGTCTACAAAACTGTCCTTCCTCCCTGACGGTGGTTTAACTATCCCCTATTTGGTCCCCAGCCATTCTCGGGCCATGAAACCCAGTTCTAGGCCTCCAGGCATCAGTAGTCACACCCTAAGGATTTTCTGGCTTCCCTTCCTTGATAGCTCACCAATATATGTAAAGAAAAAAAAGTGAACTTTGTCTGGCATTTTTAATAGTACTGTACAAAAAAAAAATGTTAACGCTATCTAACTTTCAGTATTGCCAGGAACACTTAAGATCTCTAAGCCTCACTCTTTCGTTGAAAAATGAAAATAATATCTGAGGTTGAAGCTCCTCAGAAAATGACACCAAGACAGAGACTTGTCCACAGGGAGTTTTTCTGGGAAGCTTAAGGGGTCTTAGCAGAGAGGCCAGTGTTCTATCTCCCTTGCTCACACCCACCAGGCTGAGCACAGAGACTAACACATGAAGTATTTGATAATTGTTTACCCAGGAGTATAAAAATCTTAGAAGCCAAAAAGGGAACTAATCTTGCAAATCAGAGACCTAGAAACCAGAAAAACATGAAGAGCTGATCTTAAATGGAACCCACTCCCAGAAGGAACACAAATACGTACTTGGCTGCTTCCACCGGCAATAACAAGGAGAAAGGGCTGCGTCTGCAGCCTTGGGTCCAGGTCTTTGCACGTTTCTATTCTTTCTTAGGAATATCCCTTCTGTGATCTTATCTTTTGTGGCCCAACGCCACTGCGGGTTCATGAGCACTGGCATATCCTAGTCTGTGCAGGAGTCAGTGAGTACAAAACACACATGGTAGGAAACATCCAAGGGCGGTTTTGCATTGCTTCGTTCTCTTGGTTCAGATACGACATTAAATGCTTCCTCCGACACAAATGCTTTCACTCCTCTTTGGTTCACTGGGGAGTTACTTCCTCGTGATTCTAAAGCTTCAGCTTTAAGTTCTCCACACAGTGACACAGCATAAATGGTAGAAATTGTGCATGCTCTTGAGCCACCCCCCGTGAAGGGCCATACCGGAGACACACACACACACACACACCAGCCCGTCCAGTGCACCCGATAACCCGCTGCGTGTCAGAATAGATGCTGTTTCTCTGACCGAGCACAGGATGAGATGGCTTGGAGTTTGGGGGCCATGTCATATGAAAGCAGTGCTCCCACCAAGTTCCAGATCCTCCAGGAACACTTAAGATCTCTAAGCCTCACTCTTTCGTTGAAAAATGAAAATAATATCTGAGGTTGAAGCTCCTCAGAAAATGACACCAAGACAGAGACTTGTCCACAGGGAGTTTTTCTGGGAAGCTTAAGGGGTCTTAGCAGAGAGGCCAGTGTTCTATCTCCCTTGCTCACACCCACCAGGCTGAGCACAGAGACTAACACATGAAGTATTTGATAATTGTTTACCCAGGAGTATAAAAATCTTAGAAGCCAAAAAGGGAACTAATCTTGCAAATCAGAGACCTAGAAACCAGAAAAACATGAAGAGCTGATCTTAAATGGAACCCACTCCCAGAAGGAACACAAATACGTACTTGGCTGCTTCCACCGGCAATAACAAGGAGAAAGGGCTGCGTCTGCAGCCTTGGGTCCAGGTCTTTGCACGTTTCTATTCTTTCTTAGGAATATCCCTTCTGTGATCTTATCTTTTGTGGCCCAACGCCACTGCGGGTTCATGAGCACTGGCATATCCTAGTCTGTGCAGGAGTCAGTGAGTACAAAACACACATGGTAGGAAACATCCAAGGGCGGTTTTGCATTGCTTCGTTCTCTTGGTTCAGATACGACATTAAATGCTTCCTCCGACACAAATGCTTTCACTCCTCTTTGGTTCACTGGGGAGTTACTTCCTCGTGATTCTAAAGCTTCAGCTTTAAGTTCTCCACACAGTGACACAGCATAAATGGTAGAAATTGTGCATGCTCTTGAGCCACCCCCCGTGAAGGGCCATACCGGAGACACACACACACACACACACCAGCCCGTCCAGTGCACCCGATAACCCGCTGCGTGTCAGAATAGATGCTGTTTCTCTGACCGAGCACAGGATGAGATGGCTTGGAGTTTGGGGGCCATGTCATATGAAAGCAGTGCTCCCACCAAGTTCCAGATCCTACATCCCAGGCGGGGCACAAGGACGCTCGCCGTGTCAGAAGTGTTCAGGAACCCAGGCCCATCCAGAGCAAAGGCCTTGCTTCTTTCCTTGCTTGAAATGGCAGAAGTTGCCATCTTGCTTAAATTATTTTCTCTCTCAAGCCCATATAGTTACAGTTTTTCAGGTCAAATGCATCAGTGCTTTCCCTCCACTGTATTAAATCACCCAGCTCGCTGCCTTCCAGTACAGTCGCCCTGTGTCCTAAAGCCCCTTGTTTGGTGTCTGGGGGAGGAGACTCCACTCTGGTCCGGCCACCACTGTGCCTGGAAACTGCCCTTTTAGCCGCCAACTCCTCACTCGACTCAGCTACTCTCCTTGACTTGTCCACTAACACGAGGCTTTTCTCCCAGTCTCTCCTAATCATACCCAGGGTTCTAATTTCAGAATAATGTGCCTCACAACAAGACACCTAAGGCCACCTCTACTCCCATTTGTTCCTTGTTTGTATATAAGACCTTGGCGGCTCTACAGCTCCGCCCCGATCCGGGAAGTCCATAGTCATCTCTATCCTGCCTCACAGCAAGTTCTCTCTTCAAGAATATCTCAGCTCCAACCCATGAAATTTTCGTTTTTACAAATGTCCTTTCTTTAAATAAGAGGAGTTAAGTGAACACGGACAAAAACCTATGTCTTCTACACCCATCTTTCTGAAAGTTTAAGAATGCAAGAAAGTATAATTATCTTATGAACTAAATTTCATGGTTTTCATTTCATAAAAGAGGGAACTGTGGCTCACAGGGGCCTGGATTCACAGAGCTGGTAAATGTCCAAACCGGAATTCAAACCCGGATTCTTATTTGGTTCCCAAAGCTGGCCTCTCTGTGCCACACCGCACTACTTCAACAGAGATTGGGTTCAGTTCGTTTGAAGTGCCTTCCGCGTTAACTCCAGGAAGAAGAGGGAAGCTGAAGGGGCTGGGAGAAAAGGGGAGGGGGAGCAGAAACGGAAGAAAAGGGGAGGGGGAGCAGAAACGGAGCAGAGGTGCTGTGAATTTCTCTCGCTGGCTGTGGTCGGCTCATGTATATTCCCTCTGTTGACTGTGACTGCTCAGCTGCTCAGCTCTCTTTTTGGCAGTTTTTATCCTTATCATATTCTACAGATAAATATGAATGTTTCTTATTATTTAAGAGAAATGTAGACCACAGTAGTGTGAATAGCCTATTCAGGGAGGCATATTTCAAGACAATTCATGCAGCCTTCAATTCTTATTTTTCAAACATAAAATAGTGCAACCTTATTTTCTTCATACTGAGTTTCAAAATACCATGGATTGGGACTGTTAGACACATGACATGAAAACATACCCCCAAAACAAAACAAAACAAGGAACAGCTCCTTAGAAAGACCCCAATTGGATGCTCCCCACAGTCAGAAGATTTACCGGCCTCGTATTGGGTTATAAGGAATGGGGATTTTCTGGGTAAAGGTCCATAAATCACATCAGAGTCAGAAACTGAAAAGCTTTTCAAAAGGCAACTGCCCAAATCAAATAATGGTTTTTCACTTGTTTACAAAATGTGGAAAGAAATATGGGTCTCTCCCTCAATTACACACACACACACACACACACACACACACACACACACCACTGTCATCATCAGCATTAGGATAAAATCTGAGAATCGAGAAACAGAATTCACTTTCAACATAAAGCAGCAACGAAATTTATTGACTGAATTAAACACAACAGTTAAAATGGCAGTGTTGTATTTTCATTTTAAGATGTTGGAATGAAACAAGAAAAGTGCTATTAGTCCAAGCTTCTTACATTCATTAAAAGAGTGACTATCAAAAACAGCAACATGCACAATGACTCCTATGCACAAAATGGAATTATATCAACAAATATACAAAATACCCAAAATAAAATATTTACAAGGTTTAAAAATATAAACATTGGTTCATCTATCCATTAAACCACTGGAGTGGAGAAAGGAGAAAAGACCCTATTGCTATTTAGAATCCTTTTTCAAAACAAGTTTTAAAAACATAGAGTAGTTCTAAGACACAATTTCTGATGTTTTAGGGCAGTGTAACATTCTATTATAAAAATAATATCTATAAACCTACTAATAATTTTCTTCCTGTGCACAAAAATAATAGAGCCAAAAGCTTGTCCTCAAAGACATGCCTGACTTTCTGGATAACTAATTATAGAAATGGAGTTTCTCATTTGGGTTTTCTTTGTCATTATTTTCAAATAACCTGCAGTTCCCTATATTACACTGACTTATTTCATATAAATAACTTGGACAAAACCTGAAGTTAGCAATGAGTCTGGTAGATAGCTAAAGTCTTGTAAAAATGGCAGGAATTTACTTTGCCTAAAACCATCAAAACCCTTTTCCCTGATAACTTTGATGAAACTACCACTCTCAGATTCTTCATTACACTTATCCTGGGAACAATAAAAATGTTGTATATTACTTTGTTAGAGTTTCTTCTCTTCTATTTAGAAATAACTGTGTAGTTGGGGATCAATGGTTATAATGTAAATGTTTGAGAAGATTCACTAATTCCTTTAGGCTTCCTATGGCCATTCCACGACATACTGACTGTGGGTCTCTTCTATCCATTTATGCAGTTTGACCAGATATTTTTAGTATTCTGCCTTGTTTATTATGATCAAGGTAGGTATCTGAGAAAGTTTACTATGTCTCCAATAACCAGTAACCTAGCCTGTATTTCATTAAAAATGTTATCATCTCACCTAAGAAACAATGTTACTCTACCCTATTATTGAATAATTTCCAAAAATCACCCGTTTACAATTCAATAGAATGACAACCTACTACTGAAATGTGCCACGGCATCTCCCTAAAATCAGGTCAAAAATTCATTTGAAAGGCATTTTACCAAGTGTAGGCAGCCCATATATTAGTCAAATAACATCATTAATTGTGACCATCGTACAACTTCAAACAGATTTTCCCTCAATACTGACAGTGGCATCTTAAAAGAATCAGAGTGGAAGACATCTCAGGTTGCATCCTGCCAGATTCACTACTGAAATTGCTTTTGGCTTTATTATTGACAAAGCAGTCTTCAGATTATACAATCTACAAGTAGATCTGCTAGTATGTAACTCCAACATAATTGGTGAATATCGTCGAAAATTTTGACTGGCCCAGGTGAGAAAAAAACCTGCTAGACTCTGAAATCTATCTTTCAGACTCGCATGTATAAGAGCCACCAAATAATTAAAAAAAAGCAAGTTCACTTTAACTCAAATAGTCATCATTTGAATGGTATCCACAATCATAAACATCTGGGTAGCTCTTGCAATTCAGAACTTTGACCAGTTTCTTACTTAAAACAAGTTATACAAAAAAATTCATCATATGGCTCAATTAGATTTATAACTGAAGTATGAGTTGTAGAGTTAGATTTCCAGTTCAAATTCTGTTACTTATTAAATGGGTGGCTTTGGACAAAGTAGTTCACCCTTATGAGCATCATTTTCTTCCTGTGTAGAACCATCTTGTGTGGTTCTTATGAACAGTGGAGATAATGCAAAAAAGAACACAGACATCATCCCCCCCCACACACACACAGTAAACACATGGTATATGTTAGTTGTTTTACTTTAATATAAAATACTCAAATTCACTGTGGCTGACTTAACATGTGTTCAGTAAGTATTAGTTGGGTGAAATAATGAATCTGAAAATATACGGCAGGATTCGATGGCCGTAGACAGAACATAGGGTGGACTACTTTTGAAAGAGCCAGGGGCTTATCTCTAAAGTTCAGAATTGTATCCAGGCAAGGGAACACTCAGCTAGTTACTATTTAAACAAACGACACAGAACACCCAGAACAAGCCTAGACTGGGCTTCAGGTGGAAAAATAAGTGAAACGTGCTTGGAAGGATTGAAATCCTATAGGGAAGAAGTGTCACCATGACAACAGAGGAGATTTCTGTCTATATGTTTGAGGTTCATCCCAAGGAGAGGACACCTCCAAAGGAAGGCAGCTGTTTGCCTATTAACTGAACAACGGTACCACGTTACCTTATTAGCGGTGTGAGCACAAAACCAATTATTAGCTTCATGACGGGGTTAGTTTTTTTCTATTGAAAGTGAGCTAGTAATGACATTAAGCAGTTCTTAGCCCATCTATTACCACAAGTCACCAGAGTTTCTATCCTTTTCCCAGAGACTAGGTATGGGGAGAGAGAGATGGGTGGGGGAAATGATGGAATGGGATCCAAACAAACAAAAAGAATGAATTAAAGGTGTCACATCAGGGAGATAAGATTACCCGACTCACGTGGCTCTTAGGAAGCCTAAGTAAATATGTGTAGAGCTCCTAGAAATCACTGGCACTGAGTAGGTACTCAACAAGTGTTAATCATTGTTATAATGAGTATGATTATTTTTAGAAGGAATTTGTGTGGCTTGCTCCATATCACCCTTGCTGTGTTGCATCCCATAAACTATAAGCAACAGATACAAAAATTGGTAGGAAAAATAAAAATAAAGATGTTTTAATGAATATTAAGAAAGTCCAATTATAATACAGCCATGTGTAAACTGTAAACAAAATAGGTTTTTATTATTAGTATATATACCCCATGAATATGGATTGCATTGAATTAAAGTAAGTATCAGTCATAAAATGGGTCCAGGTTCAGTTCTGGAGGCTTTGTGACCATTTTTATACTTCCTTTATCAGTTTGAGAAGGAATTCCTTCCTATAATCATGAAACTATCTTTCAGAATCCCTCCTTGAAAGCCTTAACTGCAGGGAGCTAAGAACGTTCCTTTTAAGTGGCTATTGTTGCAACAATCACTTTAGACGCTTATCATAGCAGAAGGGCTCTGAGAAGCAATGCATGCAGCCTCCTAGAGTCTTTAGAGAAGGAAGGGTGACTGCCCTGAGGAGGAGCCACACTTACTTTCTGACAATGTTATAGCCACTTTTTTAAGTAAAGTAAATGCCTGCCTCTTGATTTCCCACACAGGTATGTGAGATACCAGCCTGCCACTGGCAGCATTTTGGTCTCAAATTGTTTTATAAATATTTATGTGTAATGAATTGAAAATTCTTAAGGCTGAGTTTATAGAATTAAGAACTGTGTTGCTCATCCCTTGGTCTGCCTAGAGAAGGAGAGGGAAACGGGTTTGGTCCGAGGTATTTCGGTTTCTCCTCCAGGAACTCTGATTTGGGCTTGCAAGTTCCTATGACCTGGGTGACGTGGACAGGTCTGCGGCTGTAAGATCATGCTCTTTAGTAGCCTGTCCAAAAACCTTTTCTTTGCCTTTGGGAAGTGCTCAGAGCATAATCGCACTCTATCCAGTGCTTTGAGGCACTCCTCTAGTCCTGGGGTGGTAGGTGCTTAGTTCCCACACTGTGCAGATTCAGGTGAACACTGGACTCGATGTGACCCTGGCTTCAGGCGCTGGCAAGGGATCTGCCCTATGCTTAGCAGGAGGTCAGTGACCTCTCCCTCGGTTCTTCCTTGCTCTCTACTGCCTACAGAGCTGTGGACATTCACTGCTACTCTCGCTGTAATGAATTCCTTCCTTACCTACAGTCATCCAAGCTGTTCAAGAATTCCTTCTTGATCAGAGTCAAGAACCCTTCCCCAGTTCAAAGTTATAATTTAGGATCTAAAAGCAGGAAGTATGTTCCACTATGCAAATGTCAAAATCCACTACCATCATGAGACCTGTCTCCTTACTGCTATGTGAGGGCATCAAGCAAGAGGAAACAAAGGGAGAGGACAGAGATCTACATAATCAATCTCTTCATACAAGATCAGTGGTAAAAGGTCTCCAAAAATTAATCTGACAAAGACGTAAATAGTGAAAACTCAGAAATCTCCAGGGAATTTTGATACCTGATAAAGTCTTTTTACATTGACAATTGTGCAAGCAGAAGGTTATCTGAATGTTCATTTAAGTGCAAATACCTGCAAACTACTTTGAAATTAATGAATAAACCCTTTCAGTAAATCATCACTTTCTTAGATGTTAAATACTTTGTATTTAAATAGGCAGATAATTTGTGGAAAATGTAGCTAAAGGAAGTCCTTAATGTTCTTATTCCATTGTTATTAGGTGAAATAATAAACAGCTTTTTCCTCCTATTATTCACAATGCTGTAGTAAAATTTCTCCCACTTGGAGCTAATGGAATAAAAGCATCGACCACCATTAGTATTGAAGTACAGTGATTCAGTAATATTGTCTGTGTAATGGAGATATTAAAATCAGGCTGTCTTTGTACAAAGCTATTAAATTGACCGATAAATTCAGGGCCAGCAAGTGATCTGACTTTTTCCTCTCCAGTTTGGCCAGCTCTTTGACAGAAGTGACTTAATGAATCAAGTATCTCAGAATCACACATACACAGGAAAGGTGTCATTAGCCCATATTCCATCCTTTCCTTAAAAAAAAATCAGCAATTATGGCCAAATTAGATAATTCATTAATAATAATTGGAATGTAACACTATTAAAGTACTAAAATATAATCTCTATGAACATGAATAAGAGAAAATAGCCCTTGACACAAAAAAGCAACTATGATCCCTTGTCTGTGGCTGGGAAAGGTTTAAGACACACTCCTGCTTTGGCTCCTGATTTCCCATTGAGTGAGTGAGGCTATTTAATTCATCACCTGAATCCTTCATTTGATTGGTGTGGGTGGAATTCTTAAAGACATAGGGGAAAACAACATGAAAAGCACACATAAGAATAAAAATAGAAAATATTTAAAATCTTGTACAACTGGTTAATTGAAAAGCAAGGGAAAATAAGTTAACTTTACGGACACTTTCTTTAATTTATAAAAAGAAGACAGCTTAGTGATGTAAATGCAGAAATAAGTCCCAAGACCATGAAAGCAAAAATAGTTTGTTCCAGTGCTTATAAAGTAGATAGATTGACTTTACTATTGCAATTTTCTTATCAGTCCTTCAGGTACACTTGACTTTCCTGTACAGTCCAAGAAATGATCAAACAGGATTTTGTCATGGATTCATGCAGAGGAGAATAGAACCCTTGCAATAAATTGCACAGGCAGAAAATAAAGATCCTTTGTTTTAAAACAAGGAATAAGATTTATGTTTCTTTCCATTCATTAGGGGAAATGGATGCATTGAGCCTAAATAGTACTATCAGTGTTGAATAAAATGTAAATCCTTTCTCATGATAGAAATCATTTCTAAAATGTTTCCAAGTTTACAGTAGGTGCCTTTGTCCGTTCAGTTTGTGCACAGTTGAGTGCATGAACACGTGTGAGTATGAGTTGTTTATGAATTCCTGGTGGTGTATTCAGAGTGCTTAAGGCTATGTCTGATTATAGGACATCATCAACAGACATAAGGAAATTAAATATTAAAACACTGCTTTGAAATAACATTAAGGATCTGACACAATGCAATAAAAGCCCATAATCTGACTAATAAATTCAGCAAATCCCTTCCCCCTTTTCTAATTGAATCATTGCAGATTTAAAATAGGGAATGATCTGCTTTGTGCTATTAGCTCAAATTTGTTTTCCCTTGACGTCCATTCATATTGTTCCTTCCTTCATATTATTATTATTAAAATAGATCTTCAAATACTTGCCTTATTCTTTCCTTTATAAAATAGAAAATAAACTTTAAAAACACGTAATGTCACTTCATTACTTAGGCAATCTCTCTAGAAAATGCAAGTTACATAGACATGTTTATGCCATTTACATATGTGTAGTTTCATTTGAATATGTCTAATCTTCCTGACGCCATGAATCACCTCCTAGTAGAAGCTCTGGTCTTTTGATTAAATACACTGAGGAGCATTTCAAAGAGGATATTATACAGTCATTAGATGCTAATAGCATTCTAGGAACTGCTTCAGTTTATCACTCATACTATCTAGGCATTTGGTAACCTTTCTGAAATAAATGTTCCATCTAAAATAATGGAAAACATTCATATAAGTAAACCATTAAAAAAAATTCTTGGCATAAAATGTTTATGATACATAAGCCTGCCAGTGTCATATTCTGAACATATCTGTCCTAATCATAAATTAATAAAGCCAAACTCAAATGACATGGAAATCTATATTTTTCTATTGTTTTTCTTAATATGTTCCTCATTTGGGACTCCCCATGTTGAGGAATGGTTGAACCCCAAAATTTTATAACCAATGTGAAATCTGAAAACCACCGTTGAGGACAAGAAATAAATAGACTCTTACCCAAGACAAGGCAGAATCATTCTTTTGGGACATCAACACAATACACTTGTTTTTTTCTGCATTAGAGCCAGATAACCCATATAAAACAAAAACAGAATTGCTTCAGGTTACAGTACATAAAAGAACATCAATGGTTTGGGGACAGTTATTATATCCAGTTATAAAACCAGATTTTAAACTCGAGGTTACTGACAGATTATAAAATGTTAACCGCTGGATAAACTGTAAAATATGCATTATCTACACATGAAAAGGTTACACTTTATAAATGCTAAAATACTGTGTCTATTGGCATTTAGTGAAATCTTTCCCTGATCCTAATTTCTCACTGGGCGGGGGGAAAAGAAAAAAAAGAACAAATCTGCTCTACTGAGCTTTTTCTTTCTCCCCAAATGACCTAAACCAACCAAACCCCAACTCTCCTTTATTGTCCCAGTGGTACAGTATTTCCCTATTTGTACACCTAGCAACTGAAGCAGGCAAGTTTTCTTCCAATCAGTGATCCCCTCTGCTCATCAGGTTCAATACCTGCCTTTTCAGCTTTGTAGGTGTTTTCCACACAGTGATACAGAAAAGCGCCCCCCCACCCCCCACTTTTTTTTTCCTGGAAAGGAAAAGGACAAGAAGGAAGGAAGGAAGCAAAGTACCATGGAAGAAGAGGGTTCCCCAGTGTTCCCAGTGGTCCCTCCAGGCCTTCTGCACCTGGCGTGCTGCTTACTTAGGTTTGGTTAGATACTGTTTTCTGCAAAGGCAAGTAAAGGTGACTTCCAAGAAGTGTTCAGTGCATCAAAAGAAAGAAATAAAATAAAGGAAAGAAAGAAAGCAAGAGTATTTTTTTAAAGGTAAAAAGGAAAAATCCTTGGAAATAATTCTCTGGGACTTATCTTGAGAGGAGAAGCCCATGCATGGCACCTCCCTTCAGTGTATCCTGCCCCTGTTGACAGCACAAGACCTCCTTGGTCGAGGCTACTGGGCAGGGCTGGTCCCAAAGGCCTTTCTTGAGGGGAAGCAAAACTCATGTTAGTGGTGTCCGGGGTAAACTGTATTCCTGGACATGCGGTTCATCCATCTTGGCTTGCGAGACTTCACAACTTTTTGGCACTGTCGTGGCACGCCGCTGCCCGGATGGTGGTCCCAGCCAAGGCCCGGTTGCTGACCCTGCGGACCAGCACTTTGGAAACCGGGATTTTTGTTCTGGGCAACTCACTCCTGGCTGGTTGCTGGTGCACCACCGGATGGCTGGCTGGAAGGTTCGCGAGGTGCTTGATGCTGATGGGGATTTTAGAGTCCTTCAGCAGACTGCCTGGTGTTCGCAGTGGGCAGGTGATGGTGCCTGGAGACACAGGCTTTAACCGGGACAAGCAGGACGTCTCCTCGTTGGCCGGCAGGGCTGCTGGGCTACTGTCTGGATCGGCGTAGAGGTCGTAGAGCGCGTCGCCGCTGTAGCTGTCCCGGGCGATGGCCGCCTTCTTACCGTTGCTGGTGCCGTCCTCCTCGGGGCCCGGGGTGGTGGAATCCCAGTAGCCCTCGTCACTGTTGGGGATGCCTTCCTGCTGCTCTTTCTCCGCGTGGTGAGGCTCCTCCTCAGAGTGGAGCTCCGTGGGAATCCGGTTGACCCTCCTGTGCTTGGCCGAGGATGCGTCCTTGGCCCCTTCTGCGCCCCTGGCGTCTCTGGAGGCCTCGGGTACCACCTTGGCCTCCGGGGCTGCCACCGCCTTGGCCGCTGCGTCCGGGGGCCCCTGTCCCTGGTCCTCGGTCTGGGACAGCATGTCCCAGAACTCCTGGAGGTAGGTGTCGTCCGCCTCGTCCGGACTCGCCATCTCCTCCCCTCCTCCTTGGTAGGCCACCACGCTGGGGTTCTTTTTAGAGAGAACCGGCTTGCCTGGCCCGGGGGCATGCTTGTCGCAGCTGGGACCTGCCTCGTCCTCTTGGTCTGCAATAATATCTCCACAGCCTGTAAGAGAGTCAAAGCTTTTCAGTGAAGTCACGTCAGAGAACATCAAACAAATACGATCGGCCGATGGGTCTGAGGGCGGGTCGACCGAGGAAGGGTCGGGGACGGCAGACGCCCGGCCGCTGCCGCTTTCGGAGTCGACAAGGGGGACGGTCGTTATCGGGACGTCCCCCGTCCTGGAAGCATCCTCGGCCGCCGGGCCCTCGCCGCAGCCCGGCTCGGGGGGCGCCTGGGGCTTCTCGGCGCGCGGGGCGTCCTCTCCCCGCGCGCCCGGGGCGGCGGGGCCCCCGGGGCTGGCGGGCTGGCGGCCGGGGAGCGCCGGCCCCGGCTCTCCCCCCGCGGGCTCACCTGCTGGGTCCGGGCGCGCGTCCCCGCGGGGGCTCCCCGGCTCGCTCGCGGCCCTGGGCGGCTCCTCCTTGACGCACTCCAGGCTGGCGGTGAGCGACCCCGGCAGAATGAGGCTGCCCGGGGCGCCCGCGCGCCCCTCCTTGCCCTCCTTGCCCCGCTTGTCCTTCTTGTGCCAGCGCATGCTGCTGAAGAGCCCTCTCAGCCCCCTCTTTTGTTTGCCGCCGGCCCTGCTCGCGTCCGCCGGCTCGGCTCTGCCGTTTTCGGGTCTCCCGTTCTTCTTCAGAAGGGAGAAGAAGCTGTGCGACTTGGCCACCGAGCCGCCGGCCAGGGCGCCCAGGCCGGGCGCAGCAGCCCTGGGGGGCCCCGGGGCCGGCCGGCCCCCGCAGTCCCCGCCGCCGCGCCGCTCCTCCTTGCGGCCGCTCTCCAGCACCGCCACCTCGGCCAGCCCGTCGTGGGTCCTGCTCCGCACCATGCCCGGCGCCCCCGAGCCTTTCCCGTCCCCTTTGTTTTTGACCCCGAATATGCTGGGCATGGTGCCACCCGATTTCCTCCTCTTGAATAATTTGAAAGCAGCTTTATTGATCTTCCCCGACGGCTGCTCGGCGGCCGGAGTTTCGGCAGCACAATCACAATGCAAGTCCATGTCTGCCGCGAGGGTCCGGGCCCCGGCCTCCGCCTTCCTCCTGCAGACCCCCGCGGACGCGCGGACGCCGCGCGCGCTGACAGCCCCGCCGCCGCGCTCGCCCGTCTCCATGGCAACCGCGCGGGGGAGCGGCTGTCGTCAGCGTGGGCTCGCGCCAGGCCGCTGTCACCGGGCCGCGCACCAGCCCGAGCCGCTCGCGCCGCCGCCGCCGCGGAGGCAGCGCCCAGGGCAGACCCTCTCCCCTCCGCCCAGGGCTTATGCAACACCCTACCCCGCTTCGGGGCCGCCCCGGCTTTGTGCAGCAGCTTGTGTTTGTGGCGAGAGCAGGCAACAGAGCCTCCAGCTGGTGGCAGACATCAGAGTCGCAATTCTGGGATTCAAATTCCGCCCAGTCTTACCCACCTTCAGACTCCTCCTTCAGACCTGCTCCTTCCACAAGCCAGAACCCGAACCCAAACGGCCCCCAAAATGGACCACGAAATCCAACCCAACAACAAAATGCGTCTTCTTCTCACCACCTACCCTGGACTCCACGAGTCTTCCTGCCTTCCCCAAGCTCTTATCATTTCGGTACCGAGCCCACCAGGCATGGAGCGTGTCTGTTTACATCCATGTCTTGTGCAGTGCTGAGCACAATCCCCAGATCAATAACGAATCCTCATTATTGCGGTTCTGATTCTTGCTACCAAAACGCCAGACTTCAGTTAAATACTAATTAGCAACTCTCTGCAAAGAGAGTGTGACAGCTCCGTGGGGTGGAAACTGACTGGTCCTTTGGGACAGCCATGGCTTTTATCCCAGACTCCAGCTACTTGGGGTGAGGTCAGAGAAGCCACTGCCCAGCGTGCATTTGTTCACAGTGGCTGAGTAGAGGACGGAAGACAGTTTGGGAATCTCGGATCCACTCCGCAGGTGGTCCTGTCCCTTCTGCCGTTGCCTTTTCCATTCAGCAGGACACAGGCTTTGTGCCTTATCCTGCTGTCAGTGCAGCCCCAGGGCTTCCTCCAGCCCCCATGGAGACAGGAAGAGGCTGCCAGGGTCCCTAAGTGCCTGGGAATCTCTGCAGCTTGACCCACTAATCTGGGGAAAAGGAAATCCTTGTCCCGGGAAAGAGCCCAGTGTGGGGCCCTTCTCTGGGCTCCAACTTTGAAGGTGACTGCTGGTATTGTAACCTTGACACCTAATTCCATGATCCCCGTGGAGGATTTATCAGCAATAAAAGAAGAAATTTGAAGCATGTACATATACATAATTTTTATATGTTTAATATTAGTTAATACTACTGAGGATATTTATTATATTATTTATTTATTCATTAAATACTATTTAATAATAGGTCATATTTACATACATACAAATATCAGTCTTCTCCCAATCATCTCAAACTTCATTTTTTGGTGTGCAACTTGCATTATACCCGGAAGCCCCATCCCTCATAGGTTGAAGTTGGAATTTTACTAATAGCGTGTCAGTCACGGCAGCTTGTGTAGCAAGGAGCACAGTTGGTTTGAATTTAGGCCATGGGTTATTATTTGTACACTTGCCCTTTTCTGTTGATTTTTATCAAGACCAGTGTTCTTATAACATTAAGAAATCAGTGAGTTTAGGTTCCAGAGAGGTTGTCATTCCCAGCATTTGCATCCCACCAGCTCTCTCCCACTGTTAGCATGCAGTTAGCACGCAGGACTCGCAGAGAGCAGAGAGCAGAGAGCAGAGGGTTTCCCAGCGCTCACGGACCACTTGCGCTGATGAATCAGAGTTCTCATTGCCATGGGCAGAGAACACTTATAAAGGACTATAGAGAGAAACTCATTTGTTATTTCTTCACAACCTTTTGGAGAGCAATTGAAAGTCTTTCTCAATTCTTTTACACATACCGTACAATCATTTAGGCATGTGGGTTACAACGAAACTGTGTCAGCCTGAAAGAGTTTATGACTGGGATCAGGGAAAAATGAAGTAGCCTACGAAAAATCTCCCCTGCTCCATCCCTCATTCTGCAAGTTGGGAGAAGATGGACCTGCTTATCCACTGGGGGCCTTTGACCCACCAGGACAGGCTGAGGGTGAGTCTCATCTGCATGAGAATCCTTGGGCTTCCTGGGAGAAATCTGGCCAGGACTTTGAGATGGCTATCATTCCTCTGGGACATGGACACTCAAAGAGAAAGGGACCAAGCAGTCCTCAGTCAGGGGAAGGTGCGCTGGTGGGAGAGTCATTGGTCCCGAGGGAGGACAAAGTGGGGAAACTCGGATCCATCTAAAGGCTCTGCACAAGGTGGGCTTTAGAAGCTGTGTGAGTGAGGGCCGTCAAATGACCTCCAACCCAGGTCCTGATTGTAGGGACTATCAGATAAGGGAGAGTGAGATCAGCCTACAACCTCACCGGAAGAACCAGACAGCCTAGGAGAGCAAGTTCCCGTCCCCCCAGGGCCCTCGACCCTGCAGTGCAGGAGGATGGTCAGAGCCCCAGTGAAACTGTGGGCGGCAGACTGCAGTCAAAGGCCATCGTAAGGAGCCACCGCAGAGGGTTACTCCTCCTTAAATTGCTCTGCACAGCAAGCAAGGGGGGAATGTGTAGCAAGGAGCACAGTTGGTTTGAATTTAGGCCATGGGTTATTATTTGTACACTTGCCCTTTTCTGTTGATTTTTATCAAGACCAGTGTTCTTATAACATTAAGAAATCAGTGAGTTTAGGTTCCAGAGAGGTTGTCATTCCCAGCATTTGCATCCCACCAGCTCTCTCCCACTGTTAGCATGCAGTTAGCACGCAGGACTCGCAGAGAGCAGAGAGCAGAGAGCAGAGGGTTTCCCAGCGCTCACGGACCACTTGCGCTGATGAATCAGAGTTCTCATTGCCATGGGCAGAGAACACTTATAAAGGACTATAGAGAGAAACTCATTTGTTATTTCTTCACAACCTTTTGGAGAGCAATTGAAAGTCTTTCTCAATTCTTTTACACATACCGTACAATCATTTAGGCATGTGGGTTACAACGAAACTGTGTCAGCCTGAAAGAGTTTATGACTGGGATCAGGGAAAAATGAAGTAGCCTACGAAAAATCTCCCCTGCTCCATCCCTCATTCTGCAAGTTGGGAGAAGATGGACCTGCTTATCCACTGGGGGCCTTTGACCCACCAGGACAGGCTGAGGGTGAGTCTCATCTGCATGAGAATCCTTGGGCTTCCTGGGAGAAATCTGGCCAGGACTTTGAGATGGCTATCATTCCTCTGGGACATGGACACTCAAAGAGAAAGGGACCAAGCAGTCCTCAGTCAGGGGAAGGTGCGCTGGTGGGAGAGTCATTGGTCCCGAGGGAGGACAAAGTGGGGAAACTCGGATCCATCTAAAGGCTCTGCACAAGGTGGGCTTTAGAAGCTGTGTGAGTGAGGGCCGTCAAATGACCTCCAACCCAGGTCCTGATTGTAGGGACTATCAGATAAGGGAGAGTGAGATCAGCCTACAACCTCACCGGAAGAACCAGACAGCCTAGGAGAGCAAGTTCCCGTCCCCCCAGGGCCCTCGACCCTGCAGTGCAGGAGGATGGTCAGAGCCCCAGTGAAACTGTGGGCGGCAGACTGCAGTCAAAGGCCATCGTAAGGAGCCACCGCAGAGGGTTACTCCTCCTTAAATTGCTCTGCACAGCAAGCAAGGGGGGAAGCAAAGATTGCATTTGTACAAAATGGTGACTTTTTCCCTGAAAGTGACCATGGAGATCACTTTAGCAGAAGCACCCGGTTGGGGGGTTCTGGTTTCTTCTTTCATTCTTTCTCCCCACCCCTGTCGCAGCCCACCCTGCCCCAATTTAGAGAGGGAACAGAAAATGAGAGTTGACAGGGATAGACAAAGGGGCTGAGGGAATACGTTTCAGGAAAAAGCTGTTCCTAAATGATAGGATGCTTCACAAATGTAAACAGCAAGTGGATTTTGCTGAAGACGTGTGTGCTTTTCTTTTTTGGCACAAGGGAGTGTTTGCCATTCATTCAGGGCTCTGGAGCAGGATAATCAAAACAAGAAAAAAAGGTAAGAGACACACAGCAGGGAACATTTGAGAGCTTATCTTCATCATCGATTCCTTTTCGGACTGACAGCCCCTGCCTTTGTCCTGAGCTGGCTGGTGGAATTGTCTGTCTGAGGCAAACCGCCCAGAACAGAACACGGAAGAGGCAGGTGAGGAGTTGCCCCAGGAGCCATGGTGGGGCTGCGGCTGTGGGACTCCTTGCGTCCTGCCAGCATTCCCATTAAGGAGGCTACTGGCTTTATCTTAAATTTGTCTTAGGTTTTAAGGGGCAATGTTTGATCAATGAAGTTTGCAGATGAACTTAAACTGGAGTCAACACCTCCCACCTCCAGACCACCAGTCTGCTCTGTACCCCAGTCAACGCGACAACGTCAGCTGCCTGCTCTTGTCTGTGTCCACAACCCCAACACACACACCAGAATGCCCCTCCAGGGTGAGCTTCAGAAACCCTATGATGCAAGTGAAGACCCTCAGATGTCCTCGTGGTGGGGATCACCGGGAAGAGCCTCAGCTTTGCCAACCTTGACCCTCACCATACCGTCAATTCTGTCCACGTGTCTGGGGCCCGTGCTTGCTCCCTGAGGGCTGCTGTGGGCTTCCTGTACGCGGAGACTCCAAGTCAAAGTGCAAAGGTGCCAGGAGAGGACCGTGTGGTTGCCCGTTATAGGGAACCTCGCCCATGGTCAGTGCTACTGGCACTCTCCTATACCCCCTTTGTGGGGAAGACGAGGCTCTAGGCCAGGGCCAGCAGATGGGGACTAGCCAGGTCTAAGCTCAGTTAGCCCAGAGGTAGACCAAAGTTCTTTTGCATATTTTGATTTCTGATTTTTCAGAACAGCTTTCACTGGGGGTTAATAGCTGCTCCAGGTATACATTTACACAGAGGAAAATTTCTAATTAGGAACATGCAATGTAAAAAGGCCAGCACAACTCATAATGTTCCATATTGACCCTAGAGCACAGCTGAGGCTCCTGAGGGGAAAGAGCCCCCTCTTAAGAGGAGACAGAATCCCATGTGGGCTCTGGAGGGACTAGGAAGCTCAGGGAGTGAGGTGGGCTGCATATAGCAGGTCGTCACTCACAGGATGTCACTTCTGTGCAGGCCCCTGGGGTTTGTACCCAGATCCTAGGGCAAAGGGGTGCACAATGAAGGACCAAATAACACAAAATGCATACTTCCTTGTGATGTTGGTGGGTCCCGGGGGCCACGGGCTAGGCAGCAGCTGGCAACACCAGCATTGGCTGGTTTCTATACCTGTCTCCTAGTTTCTTGTTATTGCCAGCAATCATTTGTCCTTTCGCTTCCAGACACATCATTCCAAACTCTGCCTCCATCTCCACGTGATGTCCTCTCCCATGTGTGTCTGTGTCTCTCCAGTTCTTATAAGGACTCCAGTCATGTTGGATTAAGTGCCTACACTACTCTGACATGACCTCCTCTTAATTTGTGTCTTAGTCCCAACTGCAAAGATGGCATTTCCA